TTTGCAGGGACATTGTTTTGTGGGAGGGAAAAAACAGAAGTCTCAGACAACATGCACTTCACTTAATGTCTGATTGGAGTTTGAATAATATACTTGCAGATGGAATCTACACCAAAATGTTGCATTGAAGGATGGTCCAACCCTCTTGTCTCTTTAAGAGTTCCTATAAATGTCCTAGGATTCTTTCTTGTATTATAGGATGCCAAACATTGAGGCACTGAGCTCTACCTGAATCTGCAAAGAGGACCTGGCAAGGAGGAAAAAGCAACATCTCCTCAGTTTTATACTTTTTGTACAGATGCTTCCATGAACTGAATAAACTGAAGTGAGCCAAAAATGTTCTAGTATACTACCTAAAATAGAAAGAGAAGATAGTACACTGCTAACTGATCTAGCAGCTGAAACTGAATGTTGCTTTTTTCTCCCTCAAATACTACAACAGGGTTTCCATGTGTTCACCATATCATGGTTTCGGTTCTTTCTTCAGTTCTTCTTCTTACTCCTTGTGTGTTAGAGGTTGGATGGCATCATGGCTTATCTGACTTCAGATGCAGCTGCTGTAAACATCAACACTGCATCCAAGGGCACTCTCCAAGAGCTTCTTTTCTTTCCTGCCCATCTTTCCAAGCTGTTTTACCTTGAATGATTCACTATAAACATCTGTACCTTAGGTTCTTAACTTGTGGTCCGCAGACTGCCAGGAAGTCCCAATGTCCTCACAGGGGGTCCGTAAAGGCTTGAAGAAATATTATGATCTTTTGCAGTTAAAATAGAAAGAATGAATGAATTAAAGCAAGCAAGAAAAGAAAGCGGAGAACAAAATCCCAATTTTCTTTGCTTGTTTGTGTAAAACTGGGCATTTCTAACCTATCACCTTCAATAAAAACAAATAAAAGTAAAAATTGGTTATGAAAATAACTGTTTGATAGCACATGGTGAGACCATGCAAGGGAATAATGCTGAGTGGCTGAGAGACAGCACGTGACATTTCTGGCAACTGCACAGATGTTCAGAAGCCACGGGAAAAGAGTCAAGAGTCAGTCAGTGCCAGTGTGAACAATTGCTCGGATGGACTTTGTGATCATGTTTCTATTTTGATTTCTGCTAACGAAACCGTTTGGTTATTGTAGGGCAAAGTGACTTTTCAATATCATCGCAGTAAATTTCGTAACAATACCCTTTGGCTGAGCCTCAGAATAGACTGCTGGCTGAATTTGAAGTGTGAAAGAACTGATGCTGTTGATGAGGGTGCATCCTGTTCAAAGCAAAATGAAACTTCTTCCACTCATCTTAAAAAGTGTCACTGTTATAGCAAGGAATATCTGTCGACAAGTCTCTTCATGAGAAACTTTAAATAAACCTTTGATGTGCTTTCGGGTTTTAAATCTTGAGTTAAGTCTTGGTGGTCTGTGGCAACAAAAGAAATTTAAAGGAGGTCTGTGATAAAGAAAAGGTCAGGAAGTGCTGACTGCACTTTTCATTTCCCAAAACATAACAAGTATTCTAGCTTTTTGCTTTTATATGTTTTTTATTTGTCAATCATTATTAATTTTTCCTCACTCTTTGTTTAGTTGTCACCCAAGTAAATAGCTATCACTGCATGATTAATCCATTTTTCAGTGTTTCTGTTTTTTTTAATGATAGTCTGTGTTAAAATCCATTATTAAAGGAAAATAGGAATACAAAGCATTACACTATGTGGTTTCCAAAGCCAATTTTACAATTTTTTTGCATACTCGATTCTTCATCTTCAGGAAGCTGTTCATCTGACCTTTATTACATAGCTATTGTCTCACTGTTCTTTTAAGCACATTCCAATATACATATATTTGTTAATACACTCCACATTTCCATTTGGATCTTCAACTGCATTTCTTGGGCTGCTTGCTTTATCCTGATTATTGTGAGCTTTGCTTTCTTAAAATGAATTTTTAGACTTTGTTAATTACTCATTTCATTGACTTTATCATGCAACCATTAGACAGCTGTATGGTAGCAATAATGTATTATCTGCATAACATATGTTGTTGATAACCTTTCCATTGATAATTGTACCATCATTTGAATAATCAAGTGTTTCTCTGAAGCTGTTCTTGGAAGACAGATTGAAAAGTAGTGGCAAGAACATACATTCTTGTATCAACCCCCCTTCTATGTCATCTGATCTTCTGCCTTCAGTTGCCAATTTTGTGACTATCTCTTCAATGAGGACTTTGGTTAGCAAACAGCTCTGTCCGCATGCTGTGCAAGATTCTGTGAATAGCTTTCTAGTTATGTACTGTGGTTCCTATTTCCCCAAGAACTTACATGCAGAATAGGGCTTCTCTGGCTCCAAACATCCTCTGAACCCAAACTGCATGTCTCCTCCCACCTCTTCACACTTAATTAATGGATTATGTTGGAAAGAAGTGCCTCTTTTAAAGAAATAACAGAAGGAAATGATTAAAATGACACTCTCAGATTAGTTATGGGAGTTTTTTTTAAAAACTAAACTTTCAATAACAAATTGTTAATTGAGCATATGAGGGAACTGTTCCAAAATACTTTATTAATGGTATCTAATACCAGCAAATTTTTAAAACAAGAAACAAATCAATTGTTTGAGGTCTGCCCAATTAAATGCATCTATCTATCATGTATGGTAGACCGGGGACTGGTCTGAAAATTATGTCAAAGGTTAAGTATATGGCTGTATTGATCTTAGGGTATCTGAGACTTTTAAACCCCCTCATAATATTATAGGTTATGTTAAAGACTGTATTAATGTAAGGCATTGCAAAATGATCTAGAATAATTTAATAGCCACAGATGCTCCTATACCTATTTTAGAAATCAGCATTAAAGTTATGATTAACAAAAAATACAGAGTATGAGAAAAGTGGTTAAGATTACTGAATATCTTAAAATAAAACACTGAAATAAGAAGATGGGATTGTTGTGACAACTGGAGACCATTTATTCAGTTTATGAGGATTATATATTAATTGATTCAACTCATTTGGAATGATATAATGAAATACTAAGTTGAACTCACTTCAAGAGACCAACACATAGATGGTTAAATATTAGTTAATGTCACAAAGATAGATTATTGTATTACATACCTAACAATAAGATCCATATATTTTGAAAGTTCTGTAAACATTATTCCTTTCATTTAGTGGTTATATCTAAATTTATATACCATATACAGTATGTGACATTCATTTAATCTGGACCATGCATTGCTAATTACTCTTATTGGATTAGTGATGTTCTAAATTATAAGAAACCCTGCTAATTGAGGAGTATATAATAGGTTTTGTATGGTATCAGTGTTGAATTAAATTGTTATAAATTCTTCCAGAACAACCTCAGTGAATGTGCTTTCTCAACCTGTCGTGCTTCTCAAGAAAGGTCAGAAAGTCTGTGTTTTGTTACAACTCGTGTTGGAGGTTCAAGCTGCAAATCATGCCCTTTCCCATAATAATCCATTAGTCTTCACCCATCCCCTCCGAAGCATATTCAGCCCTCATCAACTTGTTTTAGAGGTTTCCCATTCTTAGAATCCCTGTCTAAGAATCCTTGCTGCTTCTACCTTTGTGATTCCCTTAACCCTGGTGTGTTTTTCTGTGAATATGTACTGTAAACTCTGCAAACTGCAATAGCTGAGTGGAGCTTCCACGTTCAAGTGCAGTTTACCTCTTGCTATTGGACAATGAGGGAAACAACAGGAGATTGTAAAATTTGCAGAGGCATGTAGTTGAACCACTGTGATAAACAGAACCACATAACTACATGGGCCTTGATGTCAACTGGCCTGAGATTTCTTACATTTGTCTAATATTTTTATCCATGTGGGCATATATAATGGGGGCAACTTTGGAATGTATAACAAATCTAATGTAGAGTTAAGTACATATGTGTATCTATAGCTACATCTACACCTGAGCCTAGGTGGTGAAGGGTGCATGCAGCACTTCTAAAGGGCCACAGTAAAATCTGAACTGCCACCATCATTACGATGTTCCTGGATGGATGATCGTTCTAAAAGTTTATTGGTGATAGGATTTTCTCAATCCCTCTGGTACAGTTCTGTGCCTTGTTAAGTGAATGGAGATCAGATCTCCTCACTGAGGGAAACAGTGATGTAAATTGGATAAGGAGTAACTACCTTTTCTGGTTCTGTGCTTCCTTCATCCAGGTTTACTTGCTGTTGGTTCACTAGACAGCCTATAGATAACATTGCACACACACCCAGTCACTGTTGCATGGTACACACCTGAACGATATGCCTCTAGATCTGTATATGAGCATCAGTACATGAAACCCATCAGCCTGCACAAACAGTGCCATTGACTGATGACAATTGTGTTGCGTCAAGGGCCGTTGTCGTCTGCTATCATTATGATCACAAGTCAAACGACAGATCCTTCATGTCGTTGATGTCGTCTAAAGCGCAATACTGGGCCACATTGCTGCATGACTGGGACAAAGAGATGATGATACAGTCTGGTTGCTATGGCAACAAAGGAGGGATAGTTTGGGAAAAAGAGAGAGAGGTTCCAAACACCCACTCTTATTGCTGTCAAAGAATTCTTGTTGCTGTAAGGAACGCTATTTTTTAAAAATGCTTTACACTCTAAAGTGCTATGCTTTTACCTATTTCTGCAGACTTTCTAACATGACACTTTTTTCTCAGTTTAGCTGCAGAGAGAGAGAGGGAGGGAAAACACAGCACACACGCGCTCACACACACATACACCGAGGCCGCGTTTTCTGCATGTAAAGTGTGTGTGTATGTGTGTGTGAGTGTGTTCTTTAAAAGGCAGTGGTTGGCTGGTTTTCCGGACATGATGTGGTTGAAGCTGTCATCGTAATGGAAATTCATTGCTGTAGCTATGGTAAATCGAGTTTTCTGCCTGTGCTGAATGCATTAGTCTAATGAGATGTTTGCAGCTGGAGAGCGGAGCTGCTGGAGATGTACGGTGTGCTAACAGACAGGGAAAAGATGGCTTATGGAAAGGTCTGTGTGCATGTGCTCCAGATCCTCTACTCTTTGGGCCAAAATACCTGGTGTCTCTAAAGCAGCTGATCCATCATTAAGCCTAAGCAATAGGTAAGGGGACGGAGGCTTTTGTGTGTGTGTGTGTGCATGTGTGTGTGTGCATTCCCCCCATGCTTTGTTGCTGTCATTGAGTCACCCTGTTATTAAAAGCTGTCATCATATCAGCATATACTGCTATAGACACCAATATTTCCATAGACCACCGCATCTTCATGTGATTCATGCATGGACACATGCATGTGCATATACACTCTAGGTGTATAATTTCAGGGAACGATGAAGTTTATCTTAAGTTAAACCATCCTAATGTTAATTAATAGTTACTTCTTTGGAACAGTTGAGCACAGAACGATGTCTCTTCACATCTGCATGTTTGGTGGTGTTGGCTTTCTTAATGTGTGCATATGACTGTCAGCCTGTGCGTGTAGTTGATTCTGTGTGACCAGTGAAAAATCAGAGTGGGGCTTGAAGATTTTTCATATGTCTGTCAAAGTGGACTTTCCCCATTTCTGATGAGTAGAGGGGTGTGTGTTTGTGTGTGCTACTTATCTGAGAACATAAACAGTGTGTTCATCTCATAGATTTTCTGTGAGACTAAAAATACCTTGAAGCATTCAGTCAAAACATTATTTTAACTGTGTTTCTTGAACATTTATACTGTACTGATATGCCTCTATCTGCAAATTGCAGGAATCTCTGCATATCTGCATTTTAAAGCATGGTGATTTTAACCTGGGGAGGATGAATGCAATTATTAAGTTCAGAGTGTTTTGCCTCCTTGTTATTATTTTCCCTCTTTTAAAGATGTATTTTTGGAATGCATATTTAGTGGTTAGACAGTGTAACATCCAGAAACAAAAAAAGAGCTTTCCACAGTCTTCACGTAAACCAGGTGAAAAGCATCTGTCGCTCGATAAAGCTCTTTCAGTGTTACTAACCTCAATACCTGCCACTTCAGACCAAGAAATTACCACTAAGTAAATGAACAATGAACATTTTTGGAAGTTGCTTTTTCTTTCCTCCTTTCCCAGCCTTGTTGGCTTGTAAATAAAGGGCTATGCATTGGGTTCAGGTGGTTCATTTCATTAAAAAAATAGTGTGGAGTTTTCTGTTCACGTGTGATATTTTCCTGAAATGAATATCTTATTTTTAAACAAAGTGCCTGTGAATTTGTGGTCAACTAGCCTCTAAAGGGTGGGTGTTTTTAAAAGAAGAAGAAGAAAACCCTGATTATTCCATGCTTCTAAAGCTGGAAACCATAGACAAATGGGAGGGGAAAAACACAAACGGGGTAGAACATACAGTGTATTTGTGTGTGCACCCAGGACTGCAACCTGAATCATAGCTGAATTAAAATGCATGAACCTTTTTTAACCACACAATGACTATCTTGACTTGGGATGAGCCTTTAAGAACAAATCCAAAGCACCTGTGAATTGGAGGACGTGATCCCCAAACCAATAAAGCCAGAGAAGTTGGATTTATATTGATTTGATGTCCAACAAATTAATTGGGTTTGTACTAGCTTCTATCCCACTATTCTGGTACAACCTATCAATAGCTCAGGCTGGAGAGGTTTCAGTAGCACATGCCAACTTTAATTAGCAGAGGTTCTCTTGACCTTTACAATTAAACTGCTTTGAGAGGGAGATCTTTTGCTGATGTTAGATGCACCATATGTTATTCTTAACCATGGATGTGCAGTTTTAAAAGAATATAGTTTAGGTGATGATTTATAATTTCAATAAATTAAATCTGGTTTACTCCAGTGTTACTTGCAATGGTTGAATTTCCACTTCTGTGTAACAAGAAGGAAACAACCATGTCCTGGGCTAGATTTTAAAAAAATATATCAAGAAGGATTTTTCATCAGAATCAGTCCTGACATATAGCCTTGCATAAATGTGGCAGGAGGATAAATTTGATATGTTAGCATCTTCAGAGACTTGTCTGAAGCATTTGTAAGCAGAACACTTTGTAATACACAGGTGAATACTGTGGGGAGCAGACTTAATACAACAAGCTGGCATGTGAGTCTCATGGCCTTTAGCAACAGTTGACACTGTAAATGAAAAAATACTGACCACACAGCCTGCAAGTGAGGATTTTTCCCTACTAGGCACTTCCTAAGGTTCAGCTTCCTGAGCCAAGCAACCAGATTCATTTGGTTAATTTTTACCCCAACCGGTCCTTTTAATTACTGTATTTCAATATAGCAATAATTTGCTATATTGATTTCAAAGTGAAGTGGCACAGAGTCTGCCCATCCTAATCTCCTCCTTTGCAGCCCCACAAATGCTGTTTGCTGAACACTTTGTTGGGAGGTGAATAAGGGAAGCAGAGAAAGTGACACCCACACACACCCGCACACCCCAATGTGGCACCTTACTCCTCTGCGGGAGGCAGGCACCTTTCACTTACCTTCTCAGATGTGATCTACTAAAAGTTTTCAATATACTGGACTGGAAAAGCAGCACAATTTTTAGCTTCTGGGAGTGAACATTTCTGCACCTCTTCCCCTTCTCTGTAGCAATGCCCATATCAATTAATGTCAACTCTGCAGCATCCCATTTACTTATTAATCTTTTTATCTAGAAATTAATGCTAGGTTGTATCTGTCAGTGTTAGAGACAGAACTGTCTCACTAAAGATGACAGCACTCTGTGCAACAAAGATTTAGGTTTAAAGGGGTTAGACTTATTAATGGACTACAGGTCCATCCGTGGCCATAAGGATTAAGTAGAACCTCTGTGACTGGAAGCAGTATATCACATGCAGAGGAACATTGTCTACATACCCTGTCTGGCTTTCCAGACGTTATTGGCTGGGCCCCAGTATGTATAGGAGAAATAACTCATTAGCCTTTGCCATGATTAAGCTGAATCCCTTTTCTGTTTGTATATTTCTTTCTTCCTTTGTCATATGGGGCTTCTTTGTCTTTGCATCTTTGGAAGGTAAAGCAATTGGGAGCCCAAGGCATCCACAAGCATATTTCTCTAACCAGGTGCCATGCTTTTAAACAATATTCTCCTGCCACAGACGAATCCACCATGCGTTATGGCAGCTGCCCATATATTCTATTCCATGATTCTGATAGTGCATGTATATCACATTTGCAATTAAGATAGGGGAACTGGTGCTTTGCCCCAGGGCACCTACATTTACAGGACACTGAAATCTGGAGGTGATTCTACTAGTAAGTGTTAGGTAAATAAACAACATGTCCCAGCCATTAAAAAAAAAGAGAGGTACAAACGTTATCTTTTAGGAGAACCCCACATTCTCCCCTTCCTGTTTCATGGAGGGCTTGCATGCCTCAGAAAGGAGTGGATGGGAGATGGTACTACTTGCTCTAAGTGCCCAAATGGCTGATTACAGCTTGGATGGATATGCTTTAGTAAACAAACACAAGGCAAATGCTGCAAACTGGAGAAAGTATTTAAATTGCTGGTGTCATTTGGACAGAATGCTGGCATGGTAGCTCAGTGAATGGAAGGAGTAAGTGGGAGGAGCCAGGGACTCTGCATCCCAGGAGAAAAGCTAGCCCCTGTCCCACCCCCCCAAGCAACCTCCAGAAGAAGGGAATGATAAACCACTTCTGAGTGTTTTATACCTAGAAAACCTTGGAAAGGGTCACCATAAATCAGAATTAACTTGGTGGTATTTATTTATTTATTTGGAGGAGGCTGAGCTGTAAAGCATTAAGTGCCCAGGTCAAATTTTCTGTCTGCCATAGTGTCAGTTATTTTCACCAAATCCCTTTCTCTCTGCCTCTATCCTCCTTTCCTCTTGAATTTCACCTTGCTGTAAATTGGCTCTCTCTCTCTCTCTCTCTCTCTCTCTCTCTCTCTGTGTGTGTGTGTGTGTGTGAAGGACCCCATTACCTCAAGTGCCTTTGGTAGGAGAGCAATTCCTTCCCCCTCCCTCCTGGCCATTGTTTAGCAGGGCAGTTTTCATTTTTCCCTTTGAAGGGAAGATGTTGACTGAAGACATGGCAGGAGAGGAAAGAGACTGTCTCCTTCTGAGGATTGTCTGACCGGTCTCTGGTGGAGATGGGCTTGTCCCCTCCATCTGTCTTCCTCCAAGGCAGGATTTCCCTTTCATGTTCAAGTGAATGGAGAAATTTCTCAGCTTACATGGAGGGGAAAGCAGCCCTGCCAGAAAAAGTTTGGACTGGCTTGGAAGCCCGCTGCTTGCCAGACTTTCTTCAGGCGACAGAGTCTGTGAGACATGAACCTCTCCTCACGCCATATGCTTTTCGGCACCCCACTCTTTCTAAAATAATTAGCTTGACAGGCACCTCCAGATGACTTTGCAGGTACATTGATGACACTTGGGGAATCACACTTGTATAAAATGGGTGCAGTCTCCTCTCAATACCCAACATGCACAGAGCTTTGTGAACAAACAGAAAAGTGTGAATGGACAGGGCTTCTGTAAAACAGATTAAGCTCCCTTCCTGTTTGGTCACACCACCCTTAGCCACTACTCCCTCCAGCTGGTATTCAGAAAAAAAACATTCAAAAATGGTCCCTGTTGTATTCACTAAACATTTATTTAACTCATCCAGATATTTGTAGCTTGCTTCCCCTATAACAAGCAAGGTAGTGTTCATGTCTGTCTTTCTCCAACTTATCCTCAAAATCAGTTCTATCAGTTAGTTAAGGCTCAGGGACCCAGGATCACTAAGATCACTTAGGTAATTAGAAGCAGACATTACAGTAGGTCATCATTAAAGATAAAAACACATTAATGCTACAGAAACATTACTGAGACAGCCTTTTGGGGTTTGTGAAACCTCACTTCAGAGAAATCACATGCTGAAGACCTGAAGCCCAACCACCAAACAACCAAGCTAATTTTCACCCTTCCAGAAGTGAGAGAAGCTCCCATTGTGACATATAGGTGAAGATGAAATCCTGTTGCACAGCTCCACCTGTGTGACAGCAATAATGTCATTGGCAGTTGAAAGCTTCTGATGATTAAAGGCTTCATTTTGTGATTTTAGGATGCATTAATGTCATACACAATGTAACAGAGTCATACCCTGA